GACAACTGAACAAACATTGAACAAGAACATAAAGTACTAACATTATGCACAAGCAAAGGGGTAAGTTCATTTTGTGGGGTAGTGTTTAAAGGGAGAATCACGGGCATGATTGTTCAGATTGGATAGGTAGAATTAGCCTCTATCAAGTTAGGGTAGTCTTTATTGGGAAATTGGATATTCATACAACATAATCAAATATAACACAGGGCATTCCAGAATTACAGTGCAAATCAAAGAAGACTTGAAGACAGGAGAGAAGTTTAGAATTATATTGATCTCTTGAATTACGAGTTCTCAATGATAGTGAATGTAAAAGTAGGATTGGTGTTTTACTTTATTCAGTAAGTTGGCATTTGAGCTGAGTATAGGTCAAAACCAAGTCAGTGCAAAACAAAAAGCAAACTAAAAAAACTTAGGCACTTGAGTGGCTTCTGGAATCAGTCTGTTTTGCTTGTTGAATCTTTTATAACTGTTGACCACTTAACAGAAACCTTGAAATTCATACAAACTATTTTCTTCTCAGGAACTTATAAGAATTGCTAAGTACCTTTATATTCTCATGAAAACATATCCTGTGTTAGGAACTTTAGCACTCTAACAATATATATAGATTATGCTTTTCATGAATTATTCATAGATGTTTTTGAGGATATCTTTTTAACCTAGAGAAAGGTCCTTGGTGTTCTCTGGGTATTACTATAAATAGTACTAGCAGATGTTGAACACTAAGGATTATCTGCCCTCAAGTCATTAATTTTTAATCTTCCAAGGTATGTCTTTAATAACCATGTGTACCTAGACTTGAGTTTGAATCATAGTTGTAGAAAATCTACATTAGATGTCTCCCAGAAGGAAAAAAAATATTTTTCAATAAACATGAAATTAAGAACTTTCCAATAAGTTGTCAGCCCACTTTTTGATGGTATTTAAATTTGAAATGTGAAAATTTGAGTTTATCTAAAATACTAGCATATAGCTGTTCTCTTGAGAAACCCTGGTGGTACAACAGTTAAGCACTTGGCTGCCAACCAAAAGCGTGGTAGTTCAAACCCACCAAAGCAGAAAGACCAGTTGATCTGCTCTGTAAAGACAACAGCCAAGTAAACCTTATGGGGCAGTTTCTGCTCGGTCACATGGGGTTGCTGAGTAAGACTTGACTAACACTGAAGAACAAGATTGTTCTCTTTATATTATTGGATTTTCTTTCAGAATTTTTATTTATACAAAGTTTCTTCAATTGCCAACATTGTCTGAAATACAGTACTTTTGAAAACATCAGTGGTTGAGCCCACTAAGAAAAATTAATACCTTTTAAAAATATTCAAACCTTTTTATACCTTTATATTTTTAAGTCATGAGATACATTTATTCATACTTATTCTTATGCCTCAGAATTGAGGTTTTCAAGGGCCCCTTGGGTCTTGCTTTAACTCACTTCACAGTACTCTGTAAGAAGAATCTAGTGACTGCTGCTATTTTCCTAAGTTTATGACCCCAAGTTATGAGACTGCTTCTGAATGGAAAGATTTGGAGTTAAGGACTATATCCAAAAGATTTTAGTGACTATTAAAATAATAATATAGTTTGCCTAGATAATCTTTAGCTCTTGAATGCTTCTACTGAGTGGCATTTCATTATTCTAATATTATATTTACCATGAGGCATGTATCCTTCCTTTAAATGTTTGACAATCTTGGACTGGTCTATGTGGAAGAATATTGAAAAGTTTAATAAGCAAAGTAAACTAAAGACAAAAGTCTATACAGTTTTATTTTGTTTGGCTTGTTGCTCTTTTCCAATCAATGCTTGGTATAATATTAAACTCATTATGTTAGAGCCTTCTGAGATATTCCCAGGAAAAGAAATTCAGACATCTGTAAATTGTACATGTTTGTGACAGATAAAAATGGTGATACTATATATTCATCCAAATGATCAGTTTTTGAAATTATATTGCTTCACTCAGCAGGTTATTGTTGTTAAGTGCCACAGAGTCGATTCTGATCCATAGCGACCCTGTATAGGGTTTCTGAGGAGCAGTTGGTGAGCTTGAACCACCGACCTTGCAGTTCAAATGGCTTTACAGTCTGGCGCATTAACCCACAGCACCACACCAGGTCACTCAGCAGATGGTGGTAGTGGTGGTTATGTGCTGTGGAGTTTTCTGACTCATGGCTACCCTGTACAGGGTTTCCGAGGCTGTAAATCTTTACGGGAGCAGAAAGCCTCATCTTTCTCCCACGGAGCAGCTGGTAGTTTTGAACTGCTGACCTTAAGGTTCTCAGCCCAATTCGTAACCACTACGCTACCAGACAGAGCTCACAGATAGTCGCCTACAAATATAGAAGTAATGTTCTTACCACTATATGATCTTCATCTACATTAAAGACAGATAAATGCCACAGAGAGAACAAGCTAATGGCAAAATTAAAATTAAAATTTTGTTTATAATGGTAGGATACAGACGAGGGATATATATATGTAAAGTGGCACACCTTAGTGGAAGAAATGCTTGTAAAATATTACACACTGGACACATGTAAAATAAATTCTTCCCTATTAAAATCTGGTTCTGACTAGGTCAGATATAATGTTATAACTTGGATTAGGTACAGAATCAAAGGATTGTCATGTAATAGTTTTAAATAAATACCACAGTAGATCATTTGGTTCAACAAATATTTGAGAGTTATTAGCAATTGGGATACATCAGTGAACAAAATAAAAAGCCAATATGTTCTAGTGCAAGCAATCAATAAACTTCTGTAAAGGACCAGATAGTAAGTAGTTAAGTATTTTAGGCTTGTCTGTGGCTTTGTTCTAATAATTTATTTGCAGAAACTGTTAGCTTAATTTGACCCCCATGATTTAGTTTCTCAGCTGCTGTTCCTGCAGGTGGAAACAGAATAAGTAAATTAGAGGGTATTATGTGATAAATGCTTTTCAGAAAAGAAGAGCAGAGGTTTAAAAATATATATGATAAAGGTAGGCATTGGCCATATTAAGAGGAGGAACTAACAAAGGAAACTGGAAAATGAGAGATTGGTGAATGAAAAGAAAATGAAGAAATGATAATGTCATGGAAATCAAATGAAGAAGCCATCTATGAGGCAGAAAAAGGAATCACCTATGTCAAATATTACTAGTAGGCCAAACAGGAAAACTGAGTTTAGAGCTTTGGATTTAATTATGTGGAGGTTGTTAATGACCTTGAATGAGCTGATAAGAGTTAAAGAGAGAGAGAAAGTCAAATGAGTACAGGCATACCTCATTTTATTGTGTTTTGCTTTATTGTGCGTCACAGATAATGTGTATTTTACAAATTGGAAGTTTGTGGCAACCCTGTGCCAATAAGCAAGTCTATCAGTGCCATTTTTACAACAACATGCGCTCACTTCATGTCTCTGACACATTTTGCTAATTCTCACAGGATCTCAAAACTTTTTTCTTAATCTATTGCACACTTAAGTAGACTACAAAATTGAAGTGACTTTCTTTATTGCAATACTCATTTTATGGTAGTGATCTGGAAATTAATCTGCAATAGCTCCAAGGTCTGCCTGTATAGACAACTCTTGTGGAGTTTTGTTGCAGAGGGAGTAATGAAATGGAGCGGTGGAGGAAGAAGGATCAAGAGAAGAATTTGCTTTTTTAAGATAAAACAAATAGCATGTCTGTTTGGAAATGATCCTGTAAAGAGTAGGGGGAGATTATGCAAGAGAGTGTGAGAGAATTGCTGGAGCTATGACCTTGAGTTGGTGAGGACATGAGATTGCCTATAGTTTAGACAGGTAGAATATTGAATGGTGCATGTCTTGGAGGAGAGTCTGTCAATATCTTCCTGTGACTTCAATTTTCCGATTAGAGAATTAACAATAGAGAATATGAAAGTTAAGGTGCTGAGATTTAATATACTTATGGTCTTTAGCGTCTAGTACCAGCATTTGAGGGATCTTTGCATATTAACTAAGATGACTTCATACCTTCTGAGAGCATCATAAATGTAACATAACCTAGCAAATTTATGTATTTTGAGGATTAAACTCCATATTAAGTAATAATGATGCATGTTATACCTATGGCACAAAATCCATAGGTTCTTCAATCATAGGTCCTTTGACTTTTTCCTTAATATTCTTTGTACTTTACAATGTGATCTCTCTTTCTATAATGTCTAGTGATATTACTGGCTCCAGTGATTGGCAGACTCTTGAACAGGGGTCCTGTAGATGGATGGATATGTTATTCTTATATCTTTAACTTCATTTGCTATATTAATTTCTTTATACAATGAAAATAAATTTGGGTTCTCCTTTAGACTGTAAAACCCCAGAAGGTAGGTAACAAGTCTTATATAGTCTAAGAAAATGTCTCAAGTAATAATTTGTATGTAGATAACATTCAACAAATATGGTTCCTAAATCAAGAAATTTTGTATTCCTTTGCTAAAATGTAGATACGGCTGTTGGAATGCCTTAAAAGCTGGCATCATGATTATAAAAGCAAGTTTTTAAGAGAATAGTATTCAAATAAAATACAAAGTAAGATGACCTTTTCATACTGTATCAAGGAATTGATGAGTAAAGTCAGAGAAGTGATGTTCTTACCAAGTGCTAGAGAACCTAATTGTTCCCCAGGACTGTTTGGGAAGAGTAAGCTGAAATAGCCATTTCTTTCTGTAGTAAGCTGGTGTGATTAAGAGGTGGACGTAAGAGGACTGTTTCCTTTAAAAGAAGTAGTTATATTTGAGTCAATCATATCCTAGAATTTACTAAATAAAACATAATTATTCAGAAAAAGACTTAGAAATTATAAAACTATTCAGGTCTGACTATCCATCATATTTATTATCATAGTTTTTTCTAAAGCATCAGGACATCCAAGTTCATAAAAGTAGTTTAGATTGTAGAAAATACTTAACATGTAGAAAACATTTAATAAGCCATTTTTTAAAAAACCCACTTCATGTTGAAATTTTACTTGTTTTCTTTGTGTTATAGGTCCAGTTGTTTACGTCCTGGATCTTGCAGATAGACTGATCTCAAAAGCCTGTCCATTTGCTGCAGCAGGAATAATGGTTGGCTCTATCTATTGGACAGCTGTGACATATGGAGCAGTGACAGTGATGCAGGTTCACCGTTTTACTCTATTCAGTATATACTGCGTTTGATGTGAACATCTACTAAACGGATTGTTAAGTCTAATAATTTGAATGGGTAATAAATAACATTGTAATGGCTTAAAAATAAGAACATATATAAAAAGGTATCCAGTGAAGTCTTTCTCTCACTCTTGTCCTTCATTTGCCCAGGTTCTCCCTTACCTTCCCAGATACCCACCCACTGCTGTTAGATTCATGTATATTCATTAGCACTTTCTTTATACATAATAAAAAATAAATAAATATTCTCCACTCACACCTTTTTTTTTATTTAAAAGAAAGTATAGCTTTTTTTCCCCTCTAATTTCACAAGAAATGAGCATTGGAGACCTTTCTATATCAGTACACAGAAAACATCTTTCTTACAGCTGCATATTAATCTACATATGGAATAACAAGAAATTACTGACCAGTCTCTTATTGGTGGTCAGTTATTTGCTCCTAGTTTTTTGTTATTATACGAAGTGCAATATTAATAACTGTTGATGAAGATTAGAGACTTAAATTTCAAGACTTAATCCCAGATCCTTGACTCTTCTCTCTTTATGCCTCTTTCTTTGAGATTTCCAGTTATTTTCTATGTGCTTTTCATGCTCAGATCTAAATTTTTAGCCCTAATACTTTACCCAAATCTTGTCCTTCATTTCCATCTTGATACTTCCCCTTGAATGACCTCTTCATTACTGACATTAAACTTAATTTCTCAATTTGAAATTAAGCTGATTTCCATTAGAATTTTTCTATGTCCTTGTTTTCTGTTATTTTCTCATCTATTTGATTTACTTGTTTCATTCTGAGGGTTGCATTTTTTACTCCTTCATCGCTCTATTACCAGTCCACTGACCAAGTCCAAGCATTTGTTCCGTTTTGATATGTCTTGCATCCATGGTTTCCTTTGTATCTCTACTTCCTGACTTCTAGTCACTCTGCCTTTGTATGGTTAAAAGAGCCTATTGATGGGTTTATTTGACTTCATTCTCCTCTACCAATTCATCCTTTCAAATGAATCATCCTAAACTAAAATACCTTCAACCTCTTACTCCATAGTTTCATCATTTCCACTGCCTTAAAGTAGTGGTTTTTAAGAGTGGCAGACTGCTGAAGTATTTTTTAAATAACTCAGTATTTGTTAACACACATAAATTTGTAAGTAATAGACATTGCTTTTCTGTAATATAAATTTCAGTATGAAAGGAAGAATAAGGGATGGAGGGCTGTACCACTTACACTCATGGTGAGATAAAGCATTGTGAGGCTTTGCTTCTTCAAAATTGTTGATGACACCAAAAAAATCTGACACAGTCACTAGAACGAATCACAAATAATAAAACATAACTTGTCATGAGTATTCTGAAAATGTTGAGAGCCTTTAGCTTCAAGATACAGACTCCATCTCCCTAGCCATGGTGATATTTAGGGGCCTCTACAATCTTAACTCCCTTCAGCTTTGAGACCTATTTGCTGTTACTCTCTAATCCACTTCCAAATGTAAACCCTCCTTCCAGGCTTATTTTCACCTACTTTTTCTCTAGGAAACTTATCAGAAAACTGCTGCCCATTGTCATTTAGTCTTCTGCATTCACATTTTTTATTTTCTTTGCTAAAATGGCAGCTATCTTGTACCAACCAAGTGACATTTCTTATATAACTTACCTAACTTATTACTTAACTTTTCCTGTATTTAGGCCTTACTTTCCCTACTAGCACTTAATTTCATTGAAAGTAGAAACCATCTTTTAGTTTTATATATTCCCATTACAACATCTACACAGAGACTAATACATAACATACATTTGTTGTTTCTGGGTGCCCCTCAGCTCAGTTCCAGCTCATAACAACTCTATGTCCAACAGAATGAAACATTGCCCAGTCCTGTGCAATCCTCACAATCGTTCCTGTGTTTGAACCCATTTTTGAGGCCACTGTTTTGACCCATCTAATTAAGTGTCTTCCTCTTCTTCACTGACTCTCTGCTTTACCAAGTATGATGTCCTTCTCCAGGAACCTGTCCTGCCTAATAACAAACTCAAAGTATATAAGACAAAGTCTCACCATCCTTGCTTCTAAGGAGCAGTCTGGCTGCACTTTTAAGACAGATTTATTTGTTCTTCCAACAGTCCATGATATATACAGTTCTGCTTCAGTATTACAAAATGTATACATGTTGTATACAGATATGTCATACAGTCTATTCAGTATGACATATTTGCTTTTTAACATTTTACAGAAATTTTTGACAGATTTGCCTAATTCAATATGTCATTTGATTTCTTGACTATAACATCGATTATAGATCCAAGTAAATGGAAATCCTTGACAATTTCATCAATATTTTCTCCATTTTTCATGATGTTGCCTATTGGTCCCATTTTGAAGATTTCATAAATATTGTTTTTTATGCGGCATGTTCTATGAGGTAGTAACAGATTTGTTAAACTAATTAGATTCATTCAATAATTTATTTTAACTCAAATAATAGTATCAGTATGCATTACATCAAGAAGATTCAGGAGTATTCATTAGGATAAAAAGAGACCTGGAGTCTTTTTTTCTTTATCTTTTTATTGTGAATTGAGTGAAGGTTAACAGACAAGATCATCAGCTTTACATTCAACAAATTGTGCACTTTGTTTCATCTCGATGATTATAGTCCCCTCCCTATAACAACAGTTATCCTACTTCCTCCCTGTGGCTTCCCTTTTCATTTTCACAAATGAACAAACAAAATTATTTGATGTACACATATAAAACAAAAATATGTATTCATTTAATGTCTTAAGGGCATATTTGGAGTCCTGGTGTGGCACTGTTGGATAAGCATTGGATTGGTAACCACAAGGTTGGTGGTTCAAACCCACCAGTTGCTCTTTGGTAACCCTTTGGAGCCCTGGTGTGGCGCTGCGGGTTAATGCCCTAGACTTCAGAAGGCAGTTCAAACTCACCAGCTGCTCCTTGGAAACCCTAAGAGTCCAGTGAGTCAGACTGATTCGATGGCACTTAACAACAACAACAAGGGCATAGTCTGCAAGCCAGCCTCCTACTCACAGACACACAACCTTTCTCAATCCATAGGCCTAGAGCCCACAGTTGTTCTGTCTCTCCATACCATCACCTCTGCCACTCTCTCTGCTGCCACTGCTTTTCTAGCTAGGATCTCACGCTTCACTCATGCTCTTCTATCTTGGTGGTCCTAGGATCATCTGTTCCTAAAATGGAAGATTAACTACGTCTTCCTTTTGGTTACAAATTTTCTACAATTACATTTGTGGCAATCACAATTAATCCTGCTAACAATTACTCACAAATAAATCATAAAGTCCTATCATCCTCACTCCTCATCCCCTTTCACCAGATCTATCTGGAAAAGAGGAACACTATTCAGTGGAGATTCTACCTTACCCCTCTCATTCTGAAACTAAGCACACATGAAAAGTTGTAAGCCAGCCACTTTGTGCCTTTATAGCCCCTATTTTTGATAGTGAATGTCTACCCCTATCAACTCATGCACTGAGAAAACAAGAATGTTCCTTGATACAAAGAATCCTTCCTTTCTGGTTGAAATTTTGAGCAACTGCATCCGTAAACAAAGAGTCAGTTCATCAAATTGTAGCAATTTATACTTGCTCACAGTATCAAGCATCTCTATCTTCGTCTGGTCGAGTTCTAGTCAGCTAGTCATCCAAGCTAGGTTAAATGGGTACTAGCTTCAAATTTGGAGTTCCCCACATGTCAGACCATCTGGCCACTTCACTCTCAGCTCTAGGCCCCAATGACTAGGTCAGTGCTCGGGAGTTCACACATCTCCCTAAACTTCAGAGTAGACGGGTCTTTGTCTTCTCTCATTTCAAAGTCAACAGTGTAATGGAATATGGGCAAACTCAGCCCAAGTCTTCACTGCTACATTTCCTTCACTTCCACTCACAAGTAGACCCAGGTTATCACCAGCAAGCAAAGGAGACTGCAGTCGGTTCCTTTTGAGATTCAGTCTTAGGAGGGGGTATTCCCTGAAGGGCTGACTTTTCTTGCATTGGTTATCTTCAAAGCAAAGAGCTTGCTTGATATTCTAATAGCCACAGTCTGCTTTTTTTCTGTAGGTCAGTCTTTTATTAAGATTCTTTTGTTTTCCTAGCCAATCTGGGTTGGTCTGCATGTCTTTTCAAGTGAGAATGTCCCACCTCAGAAGGTTCTGGGTGGGGCTCAACAAAGGCTTAACAAGAAGCTTATTTCCCTGGGCAAATGCTAATTCCCCTATTAGTTAATCCAATCAGTTGTAAACTGAAGGAGGGTTTACACGCTTTCTGCAATCATAATTCCCAATATTCATTTCTATGATATTTAAATGTCTCTTTTACAGTAGTAAGCATGAGACACAAATAATACACAAGATAGTCAAACATGTAAATATTTTTCCTCTCCTTTACCCATTCATACTATGCCTTGATCCCTGTATCACAGTACACTGTTGTTCCAAAGTTGTATATAAATCACTATTTACCTCTACCCCATTTGTTGTTGTTGTTGAGTGCTGTCGAGTCAGTTCTGACCCATAGCGACCCTGTACAGGGTTTCCGAGGGTGTAAATCCTTACGGGAGTAGAAAGCCTCATCTTTCTCCCGCGGAGCGGCTGGTAGTTTCGAACCGCTGACCTTAAGGTTCGCAGCCCGATTCGTAACCACTACGCTACCAGAGCTCCTTAGGCAATGCATACCTCCCTACATCTTCCCCTGTCTTTTTTGTTCATCTTAAGAGTGAAATATTTGTATATCACTTAATGTACAAATAACAGTATTTTGTGGAGATAGGAGTAAGAACTTAGGGTTAAGACTATGGCTAGATCTAGGCTACGCTGTAATATATTGTTGAGTGTTAGGGCTCTGGTTAGGACTAAGGTTAGTGTTAGTGGTTGAACTAGGACTAGACTTGGTGTGGCTTTAGGGTTACAGTTAATTTTTTTTTCTTGAAATCTATTT